AAATGTTTAGAGCCAACTCTTATCGCTAAGTCAAATATTATATTGGATGTTAAACCATGGGATGATGAAACTGATATGAAAGAATTAGAAAAGGCAGTACGTCAAGTCACAACTGACGGCTTACTATGGGGAGCATGTAAGTTAAATATAGATTARTTTATTTTTGTATACATTTTTATCAATCACTATTTCTAAGATTTCTTTTCTCTTCAAAAATCATTTGCTTTTATTTTATTGTATTTAATCATGTTAATCAAAAGATTATTATTTGTTTTTGACTTACTAGCAGTGGGACCAATTTACACACAACTACCATAATTATTAAAACACCAAATAGATTAATACCACTAAAACTGAATTGAGACATTTATGTGCACTTTGTATCTTAATAATACAAACTTTCCCATGTGTATAACTTTGTTTTTTCATCACTTTAATAATTTAATTATTCAGCTATAATTTATAAAAAATTATTATATTAGCCATAACTAAATAAATTTAAATTTAAATAAAGAAAACTTAATTTGTAAAATTTAAAAGTTTAAAATTAGGGACTATTTTACCTTACTTGCCTCCTTGGTGAAGGATAAGGAGTTGTTGTAACATTATATCTGAAARAAATTATAAATAATGTTTCAGAATTTGGTTGAAACTATTAACTAAAATTCAATCGTTTCTGTCAAAAGAATAATAGAAAAAAAATAGTTAATATTTTTCCTATGGATTAAATATATAAATTGGAGTATATGAATTTGTTAGTAAATGTTAATATATTATATTTTCTTGTATTATTTAAATTATGATAATTAATGCATAAGCTCAAAAATAATAATGCATTAAACATTGTTGAAGTTGCTAATAATATGATAAAAAATTCAATTTTTTTTTTTATAAGACCTGAAACTTCAAATTACATTTATTATTTCAGCTAAACTGGTTCCATTAGCTTATGGGATACATAAGCTTCAGATCAGTTGTGTTGTTGAAGATGAAAAAGTATCAATTGATTGGTTGCAAGAGACATTACAAGAAATTGAAGATTATGTACGTAATATGCTAAAAGTCTTATATTATATAAATTATGATTTGGTAAATTGAATCATAATTCACGATATAATATATGTTTCAATTATTATTAGTGATGTTATGAACTGTTTGTTTTTGAACTAATATTCACTTTTGATGTTTTATTTTGTTTCTAAAATAAAATATATTAACTAATAAAACTAATAACATATGATAATTTAGTTCAAAATTTAAACTAAATAATTTAATTTCTACACTCAATTTTTTTAAGAATGATAATAAATTATTTGTTCTGCTATTATTTTTGTCTTATTAAATAACACGTTGGGTGCTTTTTGGTTTTTAATGCTTACATAATTTGTTACATAAACAACAAATTTACCACCACACTGGTCATGAAAGCATTGCCATTGTTGACTTTTTGGCAATAAAGTCACTCAACGTTTTATTTAATCATTAGTTGGTTGTAAAATGTAAAATTTACTTTAAACTCATTTAAGCTTGAATTTTTGAAATTCTATTTTGGTTAGATCTTAGATATTAAATTTTAATAGTTCAATTTATGAATAAAACATAATAATATTAAAAAAAATCAATTTAGTTTTGGTTTAAATAAAACATTTAAAGTTTGATTTATACTCTATTTGGAATAARAAATGTTAAAAATTGCAGACTTTTGTGTTTGGGCATGACTTTGTTTTGTAACCTTGCCTCGCACGCTAGTGTTTATGAGARAAGTATCTGACCACAGCACTACAAAAGCTGGTTGTTTTTATTGACGTTTTTTTTATTCCAAATAGAAWATGGACTAAATTAAAAATGTTTGGTTCAGATTTATTGATCTCAAAAATTAGGGTTTCTTTGCAACATCACTAATATTTTTATAGTATAACAGTAACATTATGTATTATTTCTACAACTATTCTTATTTTGTTTTTAGATACAAAGTGTTGACATTGCTGCTTTCAACAAAATTTAAGATCGAAAATGATTTTGATTTACTTAAAACATCTTAAATAACTAATAAAAATTTTGAATCATAAAAAACCATTATCTGTATTTTTTTTAAAAATCATTTCATTAAAATATAAAATCTAATCCTGAAATTTAAATGTAAGATGTTAAGGTATCTATTTTATTATTAGAATACATATAAAACCACATAACCAGTTTTATCTTCTCTGCGCCTATTAATTTTTATGCTATCCATTGACATTAAAGCCATCTATATAAGGGATACAATGTATTTGTGGCTCCTTGCCTTGGATGATATACATTATAGTATAATACAAATACTTAATTATTTAAATCCCATGATCTGATCATATATGAGAGAGATACAACTATTTTTAAGTCCTYCAAAAAATATTTCTACGATTGGACTTGATTGTTGAATATATTTAAATACATTTAATTTTTCTATTAAATACATAATAGCAGATACAATAGAATATCTGACTATTAAAATATTCTATAATATAAGAATGTCTAATAGCATTATTGGGTAAGTTACTATCTCTACTGGTTTGTTGAATACAATTATAATACAATTTAATTACTTTACTTTTTGATAAGAAATAACTTCATTACATTTACATMAGATATTACAGACAGAAAAAAAATAATCCACAGGTACCTATTCTCTAATTTCACCAACATTTATTTAAATRGTGTAWARGWATAATTTGGACAGTTRTAAACAATGTTTTTTGAGTAAGGTTAATTAAAATCATTAATTAAGATGTAAGTAAATATTATATAACATTAAGAATAGAATTGTTACATATTAATTTTTATAATAATTACT